GCAGAGGCAGGCGGATCTTTGTGAGTTTGAGGCCAGCCTGGTCCACATAGTAAGTTCTAGGACTGCTGGGGCTACAGGGAGACCAAGACAAAAAAAAAAAAATGTTTTGTCATAATTCCCACAGTTTAGCAGACAGAAGTGGGAGTTTAGACTTGTCAATTCATATTGAAAACAGCATCATGGAAACAAATGACTGGAGGTCACATGGTCTACCCTGAAGTAAACCAAGGAAGGAAAAGGGAGTAAACTGTTTCCTGTGTAGCTGGTTAGCATTGCCTTCTGCATCAGCTAGAATGTAGCATTCTCTGTGGTTATCCTTCAGTTTATCTGAGTCACATTTAAAAATGTCCTTGGAATTGCTGAGTGGCTTGTAACACTTTTGGGGGGTTTTGGTGAGGTTTTATTTGTTTTTTAAGAGAAAGTTTTATTGCCAGGTGTGGTGGCGCACGCCTTTTGTTCCAGCACTCAAGAGGCTGAGGCAGGCGGATCTCTGAGAATTCGAGGCCAACCTGGTCTCCATAGTGAATCCAGTCCATCTGTGGCTACAGGGAGACCCTGTCTCAAAAAGACAAAAATAAATAAATCTATAAAAAAAAAAAAAAGAGGGAAAGTGTTATCTATAGCCCAGGCTAGTTTGCAACTCACTATATAGCCCAGGCTGACCTAAACTTAGAGCAGTTTGTTGTTTCAGGTTCCAAAGTGTTATAATACTTTTTTTAAATCAAAATTAGTGTTGTGTCATCACAATATTTTTGCTCTCCTTTTTTTGTGTTATTTCTATTTTGTCTCCTCGGATCAATCGTCATGTCATATTAAACAATTATTAAAAGGCTTTCTTTAGGTAGAATGGGGAAATATAGCATGTACTTTATATTCCCCAGAGTTGCATATAGTCTAAAAATGGAAATCACTGGCTAGGGAGACATAGTGAACCCCTCATTTAAATACTAGGCAGTGTTGCCAGGCACAGAGGCACCTACCTATAATCCCAGCATCTGAGAGGTAGAGGCAAAGAGACTCATAAGTTGAAGCCCAGCCTGGGCACATAAGAAGTTAGAGTCCAGCTTGGGCTATGTGAAGCCCTGTTTCAAACCACCTGTTACTTCTGCCCCCAAAATAGATAGTGTATCTCCCTGGTGAGGAACTCAGGTCTAACATTACAAACTGGATCACTAACCTACCACATCTAGCTAGAAAGACTCCCAAAGTTGGCTTTATGTCCCCAAGCCTGTTTTATTACCTGCAAAATGAGAATAGTGGTGGCTGGTACCCCAACACTGCTAATACTAGCTAGATATAAAGGCAATCATCAAATTAAAATGATTGGTTGATACAGGTATGAGTGTTCAGTCAAAAGGTGTAACACTTGGGACTGGAGAGATGGCTCAGCAGTTAAAAGCGCTTGCTGTTCTTGCAGAGGAGCCAGGTTTGGTTCCCAGCATCCACATGGTGGCTAACTGTAACTCCAGTTCCAGGAGATCTGACACCCTCTTCTGACCTCCATGAGCACTGCATGACATGGATGCACTTACACACATGCAGGCAATACATTCATACACATTAAAAATAAAAGGTGTAACACTTGCTGAGATGTTTGCACCGTGAAGTCCATGCCAAATTCTGATGGGTAGAGAGAGTAAGAAGCTTTCTATAGTCATGGTCCCTTTCTCCCCATCTCTTGGAAGAAGTGCTACTGAGAGTCAACACTGACTCCTGCTGCGTCTTCCTTTTGGTAACTGGATCTGTTGAACAAAAAGGCATTGTCTAGAAGGAAAAGTAGAATCAAGCCAAAGATACCTTTCTATAATCAGTGCAATATTTAAAAATATCACATGCACACCTTTAATCCCAGCACTTGGGAGGGAGAGGCAGGTGGATCTCTCAGTTCAAGGCCAGCCTGGTCTACATAGTGAGTTCTGGGCCAACTGGGACTACAGGAAGACCCTGTCTCAAAAAGACCAGTATATATATCACATATAAAATGTGTAAATATGTGATAAAAAAATATTTTTTTTTCACATAGGACTAGAGAGATGGCTCAGTAGTTAAGAGTGCTTGCTGCTCTTAAAGAGGACACAGGCTCGGTTCCTAGCACCCCATGGAGGCACCTAACCTTCTTCTGTAACTCCAGTTATTCTCCTATAACTCTATAACTCCAGGGATCCATTGCCCACTTCTGGCCCCCATGAGCACTGCACACATATAATATGCATATATACATGGAAGGAAAACACATATACATACAATAAACATAAAGTGTTACATATAGGATGGAGAAAAAAACCTTATATCTAGTATGTTTATTTAGTAGACTAATTTATTTATTTGTGGCTTCCTCTTCAGAGCCAAGCAGTAGATCCAGAACAGTTCTCAAGTCAAGAGTCCAACATCATGCTGGAGCAGAAGGCCCCTGTTTTCCCACAGCAGTATGCATCTCAGGCACAAATGGCCCAGGGTAGCTACAATCCCATGCAAGATCCAAACTTTCACAACATGGGACAACGGCCTAGTTACGCCACACTCCGTATGCAGCCCCGACCAGGCCTCAGGCCCACAGGCCTAGTGCAGAGCCAGCCAAATCAACTGAGACTTCAGCTTCAGCATCGCCTCCAAGCACAGCAGGTCAGTTCTTTGATGGGACCTGCAGAGCTGCTGGGGGCTGTGAGTGGATCAGGGCACAGGAGGATTAATAGGGGTGGCATGGTGTAGTAGCAGAACTGAGTTAGGGCGGGCTGTGTCTTGGAAATGGTTATTTGATGTAAAATATTGTGCTGGATGTGGTTGCATACCCTGTAGTTCTAGCATTTGGGAGGCTGAGGTAGGAGCTCTAGGCCAGTTACATAGTAAAACTCTATCTCAGCCCACTCACCACCCCCCAGATAAAAAGTACTGATTCCTACGTGTTTGTATTTAGAATCGCCAGCCACTTATGAATCAAATCAGCAATGTTTCAAATGTGAACTTGACTCTGAGGCCTGGAGTACCAGCACAGGTGAGGAGCCAACCCAGCCATCGTGTTCACTGTATCCAGTCAGCTTCCTGTCGTTTCTTCCTCCCTGATAACCTGAGTGAGCACAGGTCTGGGTCCACCCTGGCTCTGCACTGTTCCCATTCTATCTAGCCTGTCTTGTTATACTTCCTTCTAACTCCCTTTTTGCAGTTCTTAGTGTGGTCTTTATTGCCAGAGACACTTGTTCTTGTTATTCACATGAAGTGTATTATGGAGCATCTTAACCACTGCTCCTAAGAGGAACACAGGCCTAAGTTCCTGCAAGCCTCTGTTATGATATGGTTCTCAGCAAATCAGTACTGATCTTGTTTTATAGGAGCTTCACCCACCCTTGGCTAGAAACATGCATGTGAGATAGCTGAAATTTTTTGCCACTGTACTCGTGTTCATAAATGGTCACAATGGTCCTGTGAGTATTGATCTAGAGGGTACAACTAAATTTTAGAGTAGGCAGCTTCACAAATATGGAAGTTACAAATGATCAGGATAGCTTTTCTCATTACTGGTACACAGCCTCACATCTTTCCTGAAAGCCAGCCCAGGATCCCTGCCTTGCACCCATGTCTTCTCTCGTTCCCTCCGTCCCTCCTACTCATCTTGGCCTTTCTCTTTCTGAGAGCTTGTCTGGAGGTTCTGTCCAGGGAGCATAGCTGCCTTGACTAAAGCATATTCCCCCTCTGCGCCAGGCGTGGTGGCACATACCTTTAATTCCAGCACTCCAGAGGCAGAGGCAGGCAGATCTCTTAAGTTTCAGGCCAGCTGGGGCTATAGAGAGACCCTGTCTCAAAAAGATTATATATATATATTCCCCCTCTATTAGGAAAGGTCATCCTCTTTGGCTAAGTGGTGAGGGAGGAAGGAGACACCTGCCTAGCCCTGGTGATAAGTGGAGTAACAGATGTCACTGCTAGATGGCTCTCACACCCATCTTTCTGAAGTGTACTACATCATCTTCACACAATCTTGTTAGATTTGAGTGTTCCTTAAAAAGGACCTTAAACTATCTTCTGCAGGGCATGGTAGCACATGCTGGAATCCCAGCACTCCGGAGGCCTTAGCAGGAGAATAATGAGTTTAAAGCCAGCTTGAACCACATAGCCAGACCTTGTCTTGAAAAATGAAAAGGGACTTCCTGTAGGAAGGACTGTGATCTTTTGAAGTCCTTTGGTTGAGTGTGTCTTCATAAAATGAGTTAGTTCACATCAGCAGAGTTCCAGAATCATCACCCAGGTTGAATAGAAGGGCACATGCCCCCTCACTGGTCCCACTCTAGTAGTTTTTTTCCATGTAATTTTCTTTTCCAAATGATTTTACATGAGGGAGTGCTGTTGGTTATCCTCTCTAACATGTCTGCCCACTGTCTTCCTCCATGATTCCTCTCCATTTCAGGCCCCTATTAATGCACAGATGCTGGCTCAGAGGCAGAGGGAAATCCTCAACCAGCATCTTCGGCAGAGACAAATGCATCAACAACAGCAAGTGCAGCAGCGAACTTTGATGATGAGAGGACAAGGGTTGACTATGACCCCAAGCATGGTGGCTCCTAGTGGCATACCAGCAGCCATGAGCAATCCCCGGATTCCTCAGGCCAATGCCCAGCAGTTTCCATTTCCTCCAAACTACGGTACTGGACTTCCATCCCCACCACCTTTCACCAGTCCTTTCTCCCCGATGTCCCCCAGTCCTGGGTCACAGCTCCTCTCTCACAGCTCTTTGCATGGCTCCCAGATGAATCTGGCTAACCAGGGAGTGATAGGAATCCTGGGAGGACAGTTGGGGCCTGGCAGGAGTCCCCAGGTCCAGCACAGTACCTTCCAGGCTCTTGGCTCAGGTATCTCCTTTTCTCTGAGTGCAGGTCTTACTTTACGAATGACTGAAGGAAGTGTGTATGTGTAGACTGTGTGTGGGTTTGTGTGTCTGGGTGTGTGGGTGTGCATGGGTATATCTGCTTGGGTTGGAGTCTGTGAATATAGTGCATTTATATTTCTGTTTATATTTGAATGCCTCTGAATCTGACTCAAACAAATCAATAGCTAGATACAAAATGTCAGAAGACATAAATCAATTTAAATATTACAGATATTCTGCAGCTTTTGAAAAATAAAGTTCTAAAGATTACACCAAATCTTTACTGAATCTGTTTATATCGAGAAGTGCTACATTGGAGCCATAATGGGAGGCCTCCTAGTTTCTTTCATATTGATTTGTTATTTAATGTCAGTTGAAGAGATGAGATGCCAAGCATGTAATATCATAAACATTAATATTTGTGTCATGTTCAATTAATATTGGAATTATTGATAAATATAAGTGCTTACATGAACCTTAATATTCAAAATGACTTTCCTTTAGCCTTGTCTGAGTGATCTGTTAAGTAACCATGAAGTCTCTGTGTTGCCTAAATTCAAATGTCATATTTCTTTAAAGAACAAAGACAGTGTGTTGCTTTTTTTTCCTTTTTGAGCTAAGCTTTTCTTTTGTGGCTAATTTAAATATTAAATATGTTGTAGAAGTCTTTTTTTAAAGCTGGGTATGGTGGCTCATGCCTTTAATCACAGCACTAGGGAGGCAAAGGAAGGAAGATCTCTGTGAGTTCAAGACCACCAGCCTGGTCTACATAGTGAGTTCCTGGCCAGCTGGGGCTACAGAGAGACCCTGTCTCAAAAACAAAAAACAAGTCTTTTTTATTGTTTTGGTCTTTTTGAGACAGGATCTTCCTGTATTGTCAGCTGACCTGGAACTCACTATGTTGACCAGGCTAGCCTCAAACTCACAGAGATCTGCCTGCCTCTTGTCCCTGAGTGCTGGGATTAAAGGCATGTGCCACCATGCCTGGCTCTGTTGTACAAGTCTTAAGCAAAAAATGTACTTCCCGGAATTCTGAGAGGTGCAACGCTTTTGTGCCTGTCTTTCCTGGCTCCTCTTGCATTTCTTTCTTGATGGCTGAGGGAAGTCTGCTGAACCTTCTTTCCTTTTACTGTGAATTCCTTTGCCTTGAAACTGAACAAAAAACATACATAGGATGCTTTCCTTGTTCCTAATCTTACACAGCACTAAAGGACTGCAAAGCCATTTTCCAAAAACAAAACAAGTCAAATGTGAATGCAGCTACTTACTTTAAAAAAAATGTATCTTCCATCATGGGATGATGTAAGTTAATTTAATGAAAAATTATTTATATGCTGACCTTTGATATATAGCTGAATTTAATCATCTTAAACTACTATTTAAAAAGTATAATTGTAGTGAAACTTAAAATTTTAAAAACTTTATTTTGGGTCAAAGAGGAATATATAGTTGGCCACCCTTGGCTTGGAGAGGGGTTTAAGGAAAGAATATTATTTTCTCTAACTCTAGCCATGATGTTTATGTGTCCAAGATCCCTGAAACTATAGTATTCAAGTATGGAGACTTTTTTCTTCATGCATTTTTATCTCAGCTTGTATCTTTTCAAAATGTATGTAATTAACTGCACATGATCAGATATTTGAAAATAATTTTGTGTACTTAATGTAAAATATTCTTTCCCTTTGGTCTCTATGATATAGCTAATGATCTCTTTTGGACTTCTGTTTTCTTTTTAAGGAATAAGTCAGCAATCTGATCCTGGCTTCACTGGGGCTGCAACTCCCCAGAGTCCACTAATGTCACCCCGGATGGCACATACCCAGAGCCCCATGATGCAACAGTCTCAGGCCAATCCAGCCTATCAGGCCCCCTCAGACATGAATGGATGGGCACAGGGAAACATGGGTGGAAACAGGTAACACCATGTTGCTGAGTCTTTTTTCATATCAGTGACCCCCAAGGAAACCTTCTACAGATTACATGTCTCTATCCATATATTTTTTAAAACTTATTTGCAAGCAATAGCAAGTGTATTGCTAAGAAGCCACTTTACTCTTTCTAGAGCAAAAGTCACCAGAAATTTACAAAAGTTGAGCAAAATACCTCTTCTCTTGGAGTGAAGGCAGTACCTCTAAGTAGGTAGCACTCCACTAATTATAGAACTGCTGCCAAAGGCAGTGACTCAGAACGTCCTTTCACAGCACAGGTGCTAAGATCAAACCAAGAGCCCCTCCCATCTGGGAACATGGGAATATACATGGCCTGTCACGTATGCACAGGAGAAAGCTTGATGCCTCTGCACTTGTAGGCCTTACCAACCCTACCCTCTGCTAGCTGGCCCACGTGCAGTTTAGTTTCATTCCTTCTAAAACAAGTGCTTAAAAATACTTGCTCCAGTTTACCACCAGGTTCTCAGACTTTATTTCATCTCTTCACTGTGTTCCAGCATGTTTTCACAACAGTCCCCACCACACTTTGGGCAACAAGCAAACACCAGCATGTACAATAACAACATGAACATCAATGTCTCCATGGCAACCAACGCAGGTGGCATGAACAACATGAACCAGATGACAGGACAGATCAGCATGACCTCAGTGACCTCTGTGCCTACGTCAGGGCTGTCCTCCATGGGTCCCGAGCAGGTGAGTACCAAGGAGAACAGCCCAGTTTTCTGGTCTTGCTTTTTGTCTGTTTCTGTATTACCTGTCTTCCCAAGTACCTGGCATCTACCCTTAGGTCCCACATCTATTTTGAGAAGTGTTTTTTCACATTATTTTCACCTGTGTTAGTGAGATTAACAAAAATACTTAATGATGGTGTGAACATGAAAGGATTCCTGACTGCTAAGGGTTTTTTAAAACTTCTTAGCTTTCACATCATTAACTTTTTTATTCTTTGGAGAATTTAGCAGTAAAGTGAGTCTCTAAAAATAGAGTGGTGAGTGGCCTTTTCATATACCTTTGTTTGAGGTTCATAGTTTAAGAACTGACTTTTTTTCTAAAACTAGATGAAAAGTAAGGGCTAGCTGGGCGTGGTGGTACACACCTTTAATTTAAGCATTTGGGAGGTAGAGACAGGCAGGCTGATCTCTGTGAGACTGAGGCCAGTCTGGTCTACATAGTGAATTCTAGGCCACCTGGGGCTATAGGGAGACCTTATTTCAAAAAAATAAGTAAAATAAAGAAAGAATGGGCAAGAATTCTGAACCATATTTCATATATTGAGAAACTGAGGCATATAAATTTAAATGAAATAAGAAATGGACCTTTGGCAAATTTCAATTTGATGTGACCAGGAGAATGACCCAGAAGTTGACATTTGATTCTGTTTCATCCTGATGTTAGTGAACACAAATGCTCTTTGTGAAAATTTACTGTATGCTGCAGTGCCTTAGGTTTGTGATCTGTAAGTGATGATTCATAGATACGCAAGGAGAGTTAAAGTCCTTTGATTAAGAAGGCTATGTGCTCATAGTAGTAACTTGTATGTCTGGTGTTGTGCTGGTGGTGCTCACACACTTACTTGGATAAATCAAACATATATAAATAGCAGCTAGGTATGGTGGCACATGCCTTTAATCCTAGCACTTGGGAAGGCAGAGGCAGGTGGATCTCTGTGCGTTCAAGGCCAGCTGGGGCTACACGGAGACCCTGTCTCAGACTAATCCCTTGTCAATGAAGAAAATGTAGGTTAAGCTGAGGCTCAGTCAGTAGAGTGCTTACCTACCATACATGAAGCCTCCAGCTAGACCCCCAATGCTTCATAAAACTGGGCATGGTGGAATAGGCCTATAATCCCAGCTCTCAGGTGGTAGAAGCAGGAGGATCAGAAGTTCACGTGAGTTCAAGGCCAAGCTGGGCTACCTGAGGCTCTGTCTCAGAAAGGAAGCAAGGGAAAAAAGAGAAAATGTAGTTGATGTTGAAGTTCCTACAAAAATGGGCCACTGTCGGTTCCTGATTTGCTCTGTCAAGAGTGTGTTCAAAGTGAGGCCCCAGGTGGCACTAGTAGAGCCCAGTCCTAGGCCAGCCTGCCCAGGAACAACTTGATGTATTTAGTAATCCAAATCATTTGAAACTTGCATGGATTTAAACCTTTAAATCTTTTGAGTATCAGAGTTAATCTTGAAGCTCAAAACACATTCATGCATTGGCTCTTCTAATAGCATTTATGAGATGGCTCTGTGGGCAAAGGTACCTGCCACCAAGCCTGACAACCTGAGTTCCACCCCCCAGGACCCACATGGTAGAATGAGAGAGCACCATGGCATATAAACACACAGACGCAGACAGACCACACACGTACACACGCAGACACATATCACACAATAAAATAAGTTGACAAAAAGAAAAAAAAAAACTAAAACAAATATACAGATACTAATGAGTAGTCATTTAGCCAGAGTAAATTCACAGAAGCCAGCAGTGTTTTGTATAGTCACACTTACTCTTGCTAATTAATAACTTGGCTAAGTAGCAAAGTTGTCAGGCATCTCAGATGCTTCACAGCCACAGATGTGAGTCACCGGTATAATCTGAACCATTTTTAAAAAAAGGTGAACAATAAATGAAAATGTTTCTAATATTATCTCCACTATATTTGATTTCTGTGCCAAATAAAATTTAAATATACTCTAAGTATATGTCTTTATGCCCCCCTGTGCTGATCCCTAAATATGCATGTTCTTGAAAGCAGCCCGAGGGACAAAGTCATTTATGGTGTCTCTTCTCCCCTGGGTAATCCATCTGAAAATTAAGAATAGGGAGCATGATGTTTTGTCCAGCCTTCTGTTTTTTGGTTTGATTGGGATGGGTTGGTTTTTGGAGAGAGGGTCTCTCTGTAGCCTCAGCTGGCCTGGAACTCACAAAGATCCACCTGCCTCTGCCGGAGTGCTGGGATACAGGTGTGCACCACCACACCCACATCCCAACCCAATCCCACCCCTCAGCTCACCCTTGGCTTTTGGAGGTCTCATTGTTGGATGCCTCATGTCGTCCCCTCAGGTTAATGACCCTGCTCTGAGGGGAGGCAACCTTTTCCCAAACCAGCTACCTGGGATGGATATGATCAAGCAGGAGGGAGATGCATCGCGGGTAAGAAACAGCAAAGGAACATGGGTATATAGTAAAGTTGAATATGAATATTTTATAGGCTCAAGATGGCGTAAGTTTATTGTTAATAGATTAAAGATGTAAAATATTTTCTAATTTCATTTGGCAGTGCTCTTTGGGTGAATAATCTTTTGTTTGAGGGAGGGGGGTGAGACGGTATAATGTGTAGCCCAAGCTGGTCTCAAACTCACTATTTGGCTGGCCTTGAACTGGAATTACAGGCATGTATCACCATGTCAGTTGTTTTTGTTGTGTTTTGTTTGATTTTGGTTTGGTTTTGTCTTTTTGAGACAGGGTCTCTTTGCAGCCCCAGCTGTCCTAGAACTCATAGAGATCCACCTGCCTCTGCCTCTGCCTCCTAAGTGCTGGGATTAAAGGTGTGTGCCACCACGTGCCAGGCCTTGTGTTGTGTTTTGTATTGAGGAGTTGATTTTGATGCTAGGGCAGAGGCTAGGGCTATAGCTCCATTGGTAGAGAGCTTGCCTAGTGTGCATGATGTCCTCGGTTGAATCACCAGCACCACAAAAAAATAGAAAAGGGACAGATTTTCTTCTTTTCTGGTCCAGACTGGCTGCAACCTCCTGGCAATCCTTCTCCCTCAGCCTTTCAAGTGCTAGAATTGCAGATAAAGGCTTCAATAATAAGTCTTGTGGATCATTTGTATTACTGGCTTGTTACATTGTAAACACTACTAAAAAGATATTACCATAGTCAGCCAAATCTTGAAACCATAGGATAATTAGTTGGTGGTCAGCCATGCCTTGAAATTAAGATAATTAGTCTATACCCACCTGAAATATGTTCTTGGCCAAAGAACATATCTTGGCCAAAGACAGGTTCAGTGGCCCACTAAGGAAAGAGGTTTAACCCTAAGCAGTAGCTAGTTCTCTGCTAAAAATTTTTTTTCCTTGGGGCTGGAGAGATGGCTCAGTGGTTAAGAACACTGACTGTTCTTGCAGAAGACCCAGGTTCAAATCCCAGCACCCACATAGCAGCTAACTCCCGTTCCAGGGGATCTGACAGCCTCTTCTGTCCTCCGTGGGCATTGCACGGCATGGGTACACTTACATGCATGCAGGCAATGCATGCGTACACACAAAAAATAATAATAAAATTTTTAAAAAACTTGTTTTTTCCTGTCGAGGCAGGAGGATCAGGAATTCAGGATCATCTTGGCTATATAGCAAGTTTGAAGCCAGCCAAGGTTAGCAAGACGGCTCTGCACTTGTCATAAAAACCAAGTATTCAATCCCTAGAACCCATAGTAGGAGGGAACTCCCAGAAGTTGTCCTCTGACCTCCACATGCACAGCTGTACTCAAACACACACAATAATAAATTTTTAAAATAACCTTGCCAGACGTGGTGGTGTACACCTTTGATCCCAGCACTCAGGAGGCAGAGGCAGATGGATATCTATGAGTTCAACGCCAGCCTGGTCTATGTAGGTCAGCTGGGACTAGCATGTCAATGTTTTTGTAATGGACTTTGCACCGCTTTCAGCAAAAATAACACCAGATATTTCCAGTGTGGTGGTACACACACTTGGAAGACTGAGACAGTAGGGTAGAAAGTTCAAGACAGGCCCGGGCTGCAAGAAAAATAATCAACCAAACAGTAAAAAGCCCACTGACTGTTTCACACTCGTTTGTGTATCTCCAGAAATACTGCTGACCCTGCAGGTAGCTGTTTGCTTCTTTCTTCAGCCCCCCCTGGGCTCACTTGTTCAAAACACTTACCAGTCTGGAGAACAGCCTCTCTTTGTTTCGACCCACCTGACCTGCCGCCAGTTCTCCCAGGACATGATCAGCAGACAGCTGGGCCCTGGCCCCCAGTATGGAACGGGCTGGCTCGGCTGCCACTGGAGGAGCTGCCTCTCCTGACAGCCCAAAGCTCCCGTCCAGACCATCGCTCAGTCTGTTCACTGCATTCACCTTAGTGCAACTTAGATCTTTCCTGCAAAGTCAATGTCGACAGGCAAACTGCATACCCATTCAGATTGAATGTATTTAAGTGTATGTTTCTAAGGAGAATCGTGCTCTTGTTCTGTTCCTGTTCGGTTCCAGACACTGGTTTCTTGCTTTGTTTTCCTTGGCTAAGCAGTCTAGTACAAAGGATTAAGAGCTCATCTGGAGGAAAGAAAATAAATTTTTTAACAAAATCAAATGCCAGGTGTTCTGAGCTAAAGCCTGCATTTGGGGTGGAAGCAGGCAGACACCACGGACAGCGCTGTATTTACTGACACACCCATTGAGACCAAGAAAGGCAGTTGTATCGTTACAGAAAGCTAGCAGCCATGTACGAGGAGTGTCCGGCTTTGGAACAGATTGAAAAGGAGCCTGGAAGAAGGCTGACAGTAACAACATCTGTTCTGTGGTGTTTCTCTTTGTTACAGTAGTTCCCCTAAATCATGAGTCAAGAAGAAATGCTTTGTATTTCTAAATTAAGTTCTCCTTAGATGGATCAGATAGCTTCATTCCAGGCTCTCCTTCCCCTCTGACCCTGACCCCTCCCCTCCCTCTCTTGCCCCTCCTACTTTCAAAAACAGTATAAGCTACAGAAACCAGGTAAGCCCTCTGTTTCCATCAATGTTTTGCCAGCCACTTATCAATTGCGTTGTCTCAGAAAAATGCATTTACTGTCTGTCGAGAAGAAGAGCAAAGTTAAGACTTGATGCCAGTCAGGCTGCATCTGCTTTGGAAGTGGCTGTTCTGTCCCCAGCAACTCTGGCCTCCAAAACAGGAGAAAATACTAGTGCATCGAAATTGACAGCAGATACCACGACAGATTTAACCTCTGCCATGTGTTTTTTATTTTGTTTTGTAGCAGTGCTGATGAAGCCGAAGTTTTGTAAGGTACATAAAATCCAATTTATATGTAAACAAGCAATAATTTAAGTTCTGAACTTAAGGTTTTAACTGTATGATTTTTGTGAGGTATACATATTGTGGAATTGACTCAAACGAGGTACTTCAGTATTAAATTAGATATCTTCATAGCAATGTCTCCTAAAGGTGTTTTGTAAAGGCTGTCCGTGCCCTGATTAGACCTAATTTGTAGATTTAAGACTTTTTATTTTCTAAACCTTGTGATCCTGCTCATAAATCATTTATCTAATCTATATGATATGCAGCTGCTGTAGGAACCAATTCTTGATTTTTATATGTTTATATTCTTTCTTAATGGACCTTAGACTACATGTTACTAAGCAGGCCACTTTTATGGTTGTTTTTCTTGCCCACTCTGGTAGGGGAAAAATATTTTATTAATTGGTGTCAGTTTCAGGCGACTACAATACTAAGAAACTGATGACCTTTTTGAGCAATTCTCCCCAATCCCTGATACATATACTTTGTTACCTAAATTTCAGAATATCTTTTTGATGTCTAAAAAACAAAGCATTTTTATAATATCTCATTAGTCAAGCTTTTTAGGAACACAGAAGTTTTTCCTTGAAATTTGATTGCTTGTTTATTCTTGGCAGGGTGAAAAATATATACACTACCCTATTCATATTATATCTCTCTATATATCTGCAGCTTATGGAAATATAGAAAGAGATATAACCCAAAGAGAAATGGTAAGTAGAGAGTCTGAAGTGTTGCTCCATGCTAAAGGAACTTTCTGGAAATTTGCATTTCGATAATTTTTTCCACTTTGAGGGGGATCTCAATACAGGGAAGGTGGCCAAGGGACAGCACTTCTCAGTGGCCACCAGTTCATATGTTCCCTCAAAAGGCTCTGCTCTTCTCCATTGGGTTACCCAGTTATGCTGGCAGAAGCCAGCAGATGAGAGCCTGGAACTCCAGGGCTTCATCCCAGTGATGAGGCGCATGTGGTACACAACCAAATGTGACCAGTTTTCAGTTAATTTTTTTTAGAATATGTGAAGTAGGATAACTTTTAACTTCACGCAGCACAAAAGAGGAAATGGAATTTAAAACAGATTTGTTTTAAGTTTTAAATCCTTTTTCATATTAACACCATCCAAAACTATATATCTTTCAATGTTTATCCATCCACCCACTGTGTTTGAATGTCAATCCCAAGTCAGACAGATGTGCAGACCTGTGACACTGGCAGTTTAAAAATAACCCATGATCATGACTTGAAGAAGAAGAGAGCATAAATTCTGTTATGGTTCAGATCAGGTAATGAGTTCTGTTTTATATCTAATTAGGAGAAGAAAATAAATGAAGGAATCCTCTGATCATATTGATCGCATAGAAGCAAAAGCCAAATCAATTCCCTTCGTTATCAGTATTTCTCATGCTGTGCACAATAAATTGGTTAGACTGAGTACTTGGTTTTTTTTTTTAATAGAACAAAATAATCAGTGTTTTACTTTATTTCTCAATGTGAAAAACATAATGTGAAAAGTACATTAACTTGGTTGTAAAACCCATTTAAGTGTTCATGTAATGTGGTAAGTTTAAAAAGTGAAGCGAGCTGTTTTACTACAATGGATTTGTTTGGCTAAAAGATTAAAATACCACCCCTCCCCCCACGTGTATCTCTTACGGCCTGTAATAATTGAAAGCAATGTTTTTGCAGTTTATAGATGCAATTTTCAATCTGTGTTTAAAAACGGAGTTCATATGGGCGTGACACATGAACTGGGAGGCACAGATCCACTTGCAGAACCCAAAGATACACAATCAATTTTGAAATGCAACTTAAGCCATTAATTGTTGGTGTGAATTTAAAATTTTCTAGTGTTTGTATGGTAGTATGCTGCCTAAGAGCGAAGCATTCTCTGCACAAAAGAAAATTACTGTAGTGGCTTCGATTTTAATTAGAATTTTCTCCCTGGTGTTTCTTTATAGACTAAAACAAAATCTTTTAAGTTTCTTACTACAGGTAAAACTATGTGCAAGAACCTCAAAATGCTAAAACCTAGCATAATGCCTTAGATCTGTTTCTAAGTCTTGTATATTCCTACATAGCTGTCCAATGTATTATATTTGTATAGTGAATTGTGTACAATTTTTGAATAAGTGCATCATCACTTAACCCTATGTTATTGAACAGTGATGATGATCCATTTCTTCAAACATTTAACTGTCATTTTTTCCTTTGTCATTTGTGGGTTTTATTTGTACAGTTCCTCATGAAGTTGCATCTGAGATATGTGTATATGAAAAGATTATACAAGGGTAAAATTAAGCAATATATTAACTATGGTTCTTCAGGAGAAAGCTTACAGTGTTTCAGGTTGTGATTTATTTTCAAAACAGAGCTGACTCTGAACATCACTTTGTTCATCTGCATTGATGTTTGTATTTCTAGTGTGCGCAGTTTATGCAAAGGTAGATATATTCAGAGAAATTTTAAATACATTTATGCAAGTTAATATTGCTTTGCTGATGCTATTTGCTTATTTGATGTTAAATAATGCTATTGTAAATAAAGAATTCGGTTGTTATTGCATCATTTAATAAATTTTAATGCCTTCGGGTTTTACATGGCTTTAGAGATTTTAATGTGGTTATATTGTATCTTTCATAATTGCATTTAAACTTAAGATGCTTTGTCATTTAAGAATTTCTTAGGGGCTGGGGAGATGGCTCAGCAGTTAAGAGCACATACTGCGCTTGCAGAGGACCTCAGTTCCCAGCACCTATTTCAGGTGGCTCACAACCGCCTGTGACTCTAATGGGGATCCAATGCCTCTGGCCTCTGCAGGTACCTGCACTCATATGCCCTGTTTTAGTTTAGTTTCCCTGTTGCTGTGATAAAACCCTGACTGACCAAAAGCAACTAATAAAAATTACACCTATGTGGAAGACCTCGATGAAGACAGGCATAAATTTACTGTCAACTTTCACTGAGACACAGAGCCAAAATGAAAGACACGGAGCAAGTCATGAACCTAGGGACGACTCAGAAAACAGCCATCCCTCAAATTCCAATTTATATCTAGAAAGAAAAATGGATGTGGATAATCAAATGGACAGCAGTAGACAAGAAGAACCTTGTCCATGCTGGGTAAGCACCTTACCACTGAGCTCCATCCCAGCTGAGGACTTTGGACAAAGAAAAAGGTGTGGAGGTATGGAACTTCTAACAGTGTTCTGCTTAGTAGTATAATCTACTTACACAGAAATGAGTAAATGTATCAGAACTGAACAGAGACAGATTGTAGTGTAAATCACAGAGATTCCATGACTAATCTATAAGAATCACTTCTAAAAAGAACAATAATGAGACAGCTGGTCAGATTTGGGGAGAAAATACCACATTAGTTCCCTGCCTTATAATATTAACAAATGCCAGGGGCTGGAGAAATGGCTCAGCAGTTAAGAGTGCCAGCTGCTCTTGCAGAGGATCCGGGTTTGATTCCCAGCACCCACAGAGTGACTAACAACCATCTGTTTCTCCAGTTCTGGGGGAATTCAACACCCTCTTCTGGCTCCTCAGGCACTGCACAACAAAGTTACACTTACACACATGCAGGCAATACACTCATACATATTTATAATAAAATATTAAAAAACAAATGTTAAATGGCTCAGAGGGGCTAAATTTAATGAAAGATTTATTAGAACATAGTTACACTGTTCAAAAAGTAAAAGCATTCTTTTTGCTTTGGTTTTTAGAGAGTCTCCTTATAAAATCCATGCTGACCTCGAACTCCAAATTCTATTTCAGCCTTTCAATTACCAGAATTTTGTATGTTTAAACATTGCCATTAGGCACATGAACTACTTAAATGGTTAAATGTCCTCCTAAGTTCATCCTTTGGGGCTAGGAATATAGCTCAGTTGGTAGAGTGCTTGCCTAGCATGAAGACCTAGGATCAATTCCCAGCTGGGCATAAACCAGATGTGGTGGCAACTTGTAATCCCAGCACTCAGGAGGTGGAGGAAGGAGAGTCTGAAGTTCCAGGTCATCCTCAGCATGGTTCCTATTTTATGTGACATCTGCAGTTTAAACTGGATCCCTCTTCACTGTATCACCTTCCTGAACACACTCTAGCTGGGCTGCCTCATTATCTCCACAAGAGAATATGGATCAGGAAAGTCCAGACACTAGCATCCCTGGTTCCAAATAACAATGCCCAGGCTACCCTAGATGAAGCCCTCCATTGACAGTCCCGTCCTACCCACCTCTTCCCATCCCCTAACATACAAATGTCCACATATCTTTTTTTTTAATTTTTATTTTATGTGTATGAGCATATTGCCTGCATGTGAGTACACCTGTGTCATGCAATGCCACGGAGGGCAGAAGAGGGTTTTGGATTCCCCTGGAACTGGAGTTAAGGAAGGATGGTTCGTAACTGCCATATGGATGCTGGGAATCAAACCCGGGTCCTCTGCAAGAGCAGTCAGTGCTCTTAACCCCTGAGCCCCTTCCCCAGCCCCCCCCCCCCAAATATCTTTTTAATACCTTTCTATACTATTTTTCTGGTCACTGTGAGAAAAATGACAAGATGCAACTTGAGGGAGGATTTATTTTGCTCATTGTTTAAAGGCAGGGTTCACTATGAGAAAGACAGGTCAGTAGGTGGCTGGCTCCATGAGAGTGGGGACATAGGGCAGCTGCTTGTTCACATCTCAGTGAATAGGAAGCAGAGGTAGGATAGGATGTGGAACCAGGGTACAATCTCCCCTTCCCCCACAAGAGATCCACTTCCTCCAAGTCTCCACCTCTCAGAGGTTCTACAGCCTCTCTGAGCAGCACTATCAGCTGGGGACGAGTGTTCAAACGTGAGCCTATGGGGAATGTTTTCACCCAAGCCATAACACCCACTCTAATCCACGAATTCTAATGTGAAAGACTTAGGGCTAGGGATGTGCTCTAAGGTTAAAATGCTGTCCAGAACAGAAGCCCTGGGTTCCACCCCCAAATCAGAGATAGAGAATGGAGGGGAGAAAGCAGGAGATGAAGGAGGGGAGGGGAGAGACTGCATCCACAGCCATGAAGATGCTCCCCTCCAGTCTGCTATACAGGATGGAAGAGGCTACCCCAGGCCCAGACATAATACTCTTGACCATGGCTGAGCCACCAGTAACGCCCACTTGCAAGGCAGGATTCTTCTTTTGATTTTGGCCTCAAGACCAGTAGATGCCTCCCTGGTCAGTAAGTGTAACAGAGGTGGCCTCTGTCACCATGTGGTGGCTCAATGGCTACAGAATTCATTGATGATGACTAAGGAAAATGCCCCAGTGCACTATATGGCAAATGAGATAATGCAGTGTGTGCCAAAGACACAGGTAGGGTAGGGGGTGGATACAGAGACCTGGTGAGGCTTACTCCCAGGCCCTGCAGGGGGATATCACGGCTGAACTCCATTCAGGAGTGACTGATACTACACAAGAGACCAGAGGGCCTCTGCTAGCACCACAAGGCTCTTACCTGCTACAGAGGAAGGACAGACAGCTGGGTAGCAAGATGAAGGGCTCATTGTTAAGAGTTCATATTTTTATTTTATTGGGGCTATGGGTTAAATCCAGGACCTCAAGCATAGGCAAGAAAACACTTTTATGATATTTTATTTATTTCTGTTTTATGTATATGAGTGTTTTGCCTGCATGTAAGTGCACCATAAGTGTGCAATGCCTGCAGAGACCTGAAGAGGGCAATTGGATTCCCTGGAACTGGAGTTATGGATAGTTGTTAGCTGTCATGTGGGTGCTGGGAACCAAACCCAGGTCCTCTAGGAGAGCAGCCAGTGTTCTTAACCACTGAGCCATCATTTCAACCCCCTTTAGGACTTTTTAGAAGCCTGAGTAAGACAGGTCTGCTGTGCAAAAGCCAGGGCTTTGACTGGGAAAAGCTGGGATTATGCAACATGGATAGAGACAGCTGGGTGGATGCTTCAGGCTGCTGCCTCTGAAGCCCCTCAAGCACTCATGGCTTGCAAAAGTGGCCAATCCTCCCCAAGAGCTGCACCCTACTACATTAATGAGCAATCAAGAAAATGCCCCATAAACATGGCCAAAGGCCAGTCTAATGGAGAAAATTACTCAGCTGAGGTTCCTTCTTCCCAAGTGGCTCTACTTTGTCAGTTTGACAAAAACTAACCAGCACATGCTTATAATCCCAGCACTTGTGGAGGCAGGATGTCTGAAATTTAAGGTCATCCTCAGCTACATAGTGACTGTGAAGCCAGCCTGGGATACATGAGACCCTGTCTGATGATGACAATGATGATAAAAGCTATGAGCTTAACAGCTATAGTTGGAACAAAGAAAGAATAAAAGTTTGTTTTCTTCCAAGCCTCTCTGGGGCTGGAGAGATGGTTCAGTGGTTAAGAACACTGACTGTTCTTGCAGAAGACCCGGCACCCACATGGCAGCTAACAACTGTCCTTAATTCCAGTGTCAGGGGATTCGACAGCCTCTTCTGTCCTCTGAGGCCATTGCACGACACGGGTGCACTTACATACATGCAGGCAATACCTACATACACATAATAAAAATAAAATAGTTTTTTCTTAAAAGAAAGAATAAAAGTTTGTTTTCTTCCAAGCCTCTCACCACATGATCTAACCATTGGCCATTGACCAGGGACAGCAAGATGGCTCAGTGAGTAAAAGTGCTTGCCACTAAGCCTGATGACCTGCGTTCAATCCCTAGGACTCGCATGGTAGGAAAAAACTAGCTCCTGCAAGTTGTCCTCTTGCAACCTCCACAAATGGGGCATGAGATCAAGCCCTACTGAATTCTCACAGGATCAGAGGATACAAAGAAGTTGCATGAGAAGGTAGCCCAGATGTACATGCTACCTGCCCCAGATGCACTGATGTTTCTGGTGGCTCTAGGCCTTACAGAGGGATCTGTATGACTTCCTAAAAGAAGAAAAAGCCCCAGCTTGGGTTACACATTGCTTTGCTCAGCTCACAATTCCAGATCAAGGTGGCTGTCAGCTACCCCGAGAAGGTGGCCCCTGACTGAGAAAGCAAGCTCAAAGGGAACACAGTGTATATATAGTGATTGTATAATCATCACACTTTAACCATGAGGAAAAGTGATCTGAGTGTTATATATATGTAAATTCCTAGCTCAGCATGGTCACACACACCTAGAAGGCAGTGGCAGGATTACCATGACTCTGAGGCAAGATTGGCCTGCATAGTGATTTCCAGGTTAGTCTGTGCTAAGACTGTGTCCCTATCTTTTAAATTAATTAAATTTAAAAAA